TAATATAATTTCAATATTTTTATCATCAAGAAGGATAATTACAATTTTTGTGATAACTCAGGATTTATTTTCTTCATAATTTGAAGTTTAGACTATGTACAAAAAGTCAAAAAACTTTTGAGTCCTTCTTTATCCTTTATACACCACCATAGAAGTAACAGCCTAAAAAAAAAAAAAAAAATGCTTTGAAGAACTCTTCTTAAACACTGATAAAAATTGGTAAAAAAAATTCCACAAGGTTAAAAAGAATAAAGAAGGACTCAAAAGTTTTTTGACTTTTTGTACATAGTCTAAACTTCAAATTATGAAAAAGAAGGATAATGTTTAATATTTTTAACACACTAAACATTTATGTACTGTTTTTACAATGTATAAACACTACTTCAAACTGTGTATTAAAATCTAGCTGCTGCTATGATTATTTTCATGAAAATACTTTAAAAACTTACTGTTAGAAGTCTTCAATCCAAGTAGGTTATTCTTAAATCTTTTGTTTTTTTTTTTTTCCTATGAAAAATAATTAATAAGTTTGAATCATCAACAACTAGAAAATAAGTTTAAATATAACAATACATATTAATACCTTGGTTTTTGTTGACTTCGGTTATTGTCAGTTTAAGTCTTCGTCAATTTTTTCCGCATAAAATCTGTCTCAGTTTTTGTTGGTTGCCTCGGATTTTGTTGCCGTGCCCACATAACTACCTGCTAATTTTGCAAAAATAAATGGTGACCCACGTATTTTACCCCCTCCTCATCATCTTCCATATGCCAAGAAGAGTCTTCAGAAAGGTAAGTGCCATATTAAATGTCCATTTAATCTTTACATTAGTCCTTTATATTCATTTTATGTTAATTTCTTATTGTTTTTCATATTAAACACTATATTTATTCTCTATAAAATGTGTTTTTGGTATGTATTTTGGAGTGTCTAGAATGAATTAATTGGATTTACATTGATTCATATGGAAAAATTTGTATTCGTTTTTGTCGGCTTCGGATTTCACTGTTTGTTTTTGGACAGATTAGCAACAAAAACCGAGATATTACTGTATAAAAAAAATGAGTGCAGTCCTAAATGTCACTTCAAGTAGTTAAACACAGCCATAAGTTGTAGTGCCTTGAAAATGGTTATTCCTGGAAAAAGGTCCTTAGTCTTGAATTATACATGTAGCAACACAAATGTGCCAATGTCATGTGATAAGTTCAGATTTGGATGATTTGACAAATGCGTTTCCATCACATGACATCTTCATTACATTTCACATTGCAACACGCATTTCAAGAGTCAAGACTCGGCCCATGGTGATAATCTGAAGTGAACCTTTTTGTGAGAAAGTAATGTGCTAACACTTTAATAAAACTAATGCTTTCAACTGACTTTAACTTTGACTAACAATGTATCAACACATTTTATTCAGTAATGAATTAACAATTAGGCTTAGTAGGCTTAAGCTTAGCAGCTCCAAAAGAAAAAAAAATTGTTCAATAGAATGTACAAAAAATTGATTTAACAATATTTTGGATTAATTCTTTTAAAGACAAAGTCCTTTCCAAAAAATAGGAACCACCATTTATTAACTTTGTGTTCTAGACATTACACTTTTGGTGACTGACCTTTTCAAGAATTAATCATAATTATCTCCATCGGACGAAAATTTACAAAAAAAAAAAAAAAATATTTTGGATGTTATTTCAGTACTATGCATTCAGCAGTGAGTGATGATAAACTTAATCATGCAGTCCTCATTAACACTGAATTGCTTTGCCGTATTGATTTACACTATTAAAATATGTGAAAAAATGAATAAAAGAGCTCTAATTGAATCATATAACTTTGTGATATAGTCCTGGGATTATGTATAATAAGTCAATGTTGGCAAATTTTATATCAGCTCCAACTCCTTGACTGACTATATTTCATAGTTATTTTTACTTTCTGTACGTTATATTCTGTAATAACCATTAAAGTATAGTGATTAGTCAAATTTTAACCCTCCGATTTTTTTGATTTTCTGATATGTCGACATACTAAAAAAACCTCTTTACAAAATTGTGTGTGTGTTTGTGTTTTTCATTATATCTCAAGACTGGAAGAGCTTAAAATTTTGAAACTTGATAGGGTTAATTCTATTTATGGAGCATTGTAAAATTTTGCAATTTATTGTCTTTTGAATAAAGTAAAAAAACCATAATTACAATCCTCTATCACTAGACCACCAGTGCATTGCAAATTAGTAAATTAGCATAATGCATTGCATATCAGTGATGAAATGCAGATACTATTTCTAAATACTGAAAATTAAAAATGTAGATTGAAAACTTAACAAAGTTAGAATAAAGGTTTTCCAGTTTAAAAGATAATACAGTTGACCCCTCTATAACACTGTTGATTTTTCCGTTTTATATGAATTCCATGTTGTACGAGTCACTTAGACTTTACAAATACATGTGCTGGGCTGTGAACGGCTTACATATTTGTAAAATCTAATCATATTATTAAAATCTAATCATATTTGTAAAATCTAATTTACATATTTGTATAATCTCGTACAACATGGAATTCAAATAAAACAGAATTATCAACAGTGTTATGGGGGGGGGTCGACTGTATTAAGGAGTCAATGTTAGCAAAAAGAAAGAAAAAGCTGATTCCCCAGCCCCACGTGGTATAATGATATAATTCATTTAATGTAACTTAGTGTTGCTTTATAGTATACTAGTAGCTCGGGACGCCCCCTAGTGGGCATTCTTTACAAATTTCCATGAGGCACAGTTCCTTTGACTTTTTTGTTCCTATCAATATGCTCTACAGCTCTGTTAAAGTTATCAAACAGTTACGGGACAGACACCCGTTGAATAGGTTATATATATAGATGTCTCTGTCCCACTCTGAAGGATGGGATGGGAAGCCTTAATAAAGCCTAGCCTAGGAATTTTGGTGGTAGGTAATCCATCACTGGTTTTACCCAAAAGCTTAAACAAATTAATTATGTCATGTAGCAATAAATAAAAATATAAACTGATTATAGTATTTCATTTAGAAACGCCTAATTTCCTATCTGAATGGAATCTTCCTTTCTTGGTCCACTAAAAACCTGAAATCATATAAAACTGAAGTTTAAAGAAATACTTCCATTTATCTAGCTTTATCTTTCTAATGACTAAACCTACCAGTTTTACAGACATACTAAATTTCATCTATACAAAATTCTTATTCCTAAAGGCAACTTCACAAATTCAATGTTCACCAACTGCCAAATAAATGACTTTTGCTAAATAAATGGCAAATTGTTTGTCATGTGGTAAACATATACAGTATGTACTGTACATATACAGTATATGACAATTTTTCAAGCCATTTTGTTGATCTTTTTAATAAAATTTTTTTGTTTGTGTGACATTCCGCATATAAAGAGAGTGTAAAATAGTTCCTATGTGTAAAGAGATTCTTGTGACTCTCCTAAAAATTATAAAGAAATTCCTTTATTAACAGTTTTATTCAAGGTTTTTGGATTTTATGTAAAAGTTTAGTTATTTGGCTAAATCATTATAATTTTCTTTCAGATTTTGTCTGGGTTTCCTGTATCCATTAATGATTTTATATTATATACACTTATTCAGAAATGTTTAAGAAGGATATGTGGAAAACTTTGTTTTGCATTGATCTGCATTAAGCTTTTGATTCACCAAACTGAAATATTCTCTGGGAACAAAAGGTAGGACTTACCGTATTTACTTGTATATAGAATGGGGTGTGACTTTAAAGATCAAAATAAAGAAAATTAGATTTATTTATACAATTCTAATTTTATCTTGTTTAATCACAAATAAATATCAAATGAGTGTAAATGCACACATTGTCCTGCAAAAATTACTTTTAAAACTTAAAGGAAAAAATCTTGTAAAATCAACATCATAACTTGTTCACGTAAAGCTGGACAATCGGGAACCTTTTTTGCCAATTCTTAACAGTTGAATCCACTTATGAGTTTCTCTGAATTCTGATTTCCAAATAATCGTATGTTTTCACTTGAGAATGGATTAAAACTTATATTGGGCTCCCGTGTGATTTTGAAATTTCAATTTGGAATTCAATTCAAAAGCTTTGCTTTTCCTATTCCTGTTAATTTTTACTCCTGACAATACACAAGAATGATTCAAACGACCCAGATAAATACTTTTGTTTTTAAACACTAGAGGGTGAGCAGATGGTAAAAAATGTGAATACACAGTTCACAAAAATTATTGCAAAAACGCAAAGAATCCTTTACTCACACGTATAGAACGACCTAGGTTTTTGAAGCAGTAAAAAATAAATAAAAACCTTATCTTATATGCAAACAAATATGGTAGTTATGATTCAGCTGTGTGTGAATTTTGAAGCCTTCATTTCTATTAATGAAAAAAAAAAAATTGAGATTTATTTTTTACCTCTACCATACAGTAATATCAGATTTAAAACACACAAGATTGTGTTTTAAATCTGATATTTATTTAATATCTATTTATTTACTAGAATTTGTTGAAGAGATGCTGAACAGGTTTGGATATTTGTGGGATCAGCATTACAAACAGGAAAATTAATTACTTATTTATGTTAATGATTTAGTATTGGTTGCTGACTCACCACAGGATTTACATTTATTGGTAATTGTATTTTCATCATAAAATCTGCCATAAAATTGGCAATTTTATGATGAAAATACAATTAACAATAAATGTGGATAAATCAAAAAGTATTTGATTTCTTTTGTAATGGCTCTATTTACAGTGAGAGAGGAAGATGGTAATTTGATTGAAGTTTTAGACAAAAAATAAGTATTCAGGGTTTTATTACAATCAAATGGTCATTTTTCTAAACATTTGAACCATAAATTATAGCCAAGAGATTTTTGCCAATAGTTATCATTTGTAATAAAAAAAAAAAAAATTTGTTATTTCTTCTAATTATGCTCATATTTTTTTCTTTCTCTCTCTTCCTAATTGAATACAAACTATTATTTTAATAAATTGATTTATTTATTACATTACATAAATTAATACACTAAACAAAATTTATCACTTCAAAAATCTATGATGTGAGTGTAAGGTCCATTTGTTTCCATATTTAATACTTGTCTATTTCCATATGTCCCATATTTTACATTAATTTTTTCTTCTAATTCATTTTCTGCTACTAATTCTTTGCATTTTTTAATAAATACTTCGTACAGTTTGAATCCCTCACTTTTATTTATTATTCTGTGATACTGAAAACCTTTACCTTTTAACCTCCCTCCCAGACAGGCTTGTGGAACAATAAGAATATCACCTGGCAAATCCACAATTGACACCATTCCTCTATCTTCAGTTTCGCACAGTTTTACACTCAAAGCTGTTGTAACTATTAAAAAATTTTTGTATAAATTATAATTATTTTCTAAAAATATTTGTTACATTATTAATATATAATGCAATTGTACATAAAGCATTAATATTGGAATTTCTAATTAATAATTCTAGTGTCATTAAGAATTGTCTAAAGCAACGGTTCCCAACCTTTTTCGGGTGGCGACCCCTTTTTATAAAAGCCTAGTGACCCGTGACCCCGTTACTATTGAAAAAGACATTTTTAATAAGGTAATTAAAAAACAGCGAAATTAGTTTTTTTAGTATAATTTTATTTTAAATTATGTCTAATAATTTAATGCGATTGTTGAAATTGTATGTTATTAACCAGCCTTAAAATTCGCGGGTGAGTTTTTGTTAACGCCAACCTCATGTCATTCTCAACATTTAATTTATTCCTCTCAAACTCTCAACACATGATTCAACCAACTGTGACGGAATAGCGTACCTATATTACACTTATTTTAATTTTTAAAAAATACAGTCGACCCCCCCTATAACACAATAGATACGTTCCGTTTTTTATGAAATTAATGTTTTAGGAGACCTTGCCAATCACAGCCCGACACGTGTGAAGTTTACGGACTACGGGTGTTTGAAAGGTTTTCTTCCATAAAATTAGTCGATTCCTAGACTAAGTCGACTCAACATTTTCAAAATACGTATATTTTTTGGGAATAATCCGTATAAACTATGCTATAAACAAAAAAATGTAGAATTACTTACCGAGTGTGCACCGTTCGACGTCGCCATTGCTTAAGCTTGTTTTCGTCGCGGAGCAGCGCACCAAACGGCGGCCGCGTTTTCTGATAAATTATTTTTCTGCGAAAACTTCGTTGAACTTTGGAGACATCATTAATATAAATAATTTTTATGGCCGTTGAATAAGAAATGTTTCTTTCACAAGAAATGTATAAAATTACAGTACTGTATTAGACTTACGGTACCTAATTTACATACTGTACAGACGATAGTAAACTCAACTTACTCGCCTAAACTCTCCGTAGCGTGGCGCTGGACGGCGGAAAGTAGTTCGGCTGCCCGATGACGTTTTACCGAATTATAGGAGTTTTTTTACCATGTTTGTACGGATACCGTCGCAATTTTTTCGCCGTCATATAGGAATCCGAACTATAGGAACCCGTGTTATAGGGGGATCGACTGTATATCAAATTATTCAAACTTCAAGACACCATTAAAAATAAAAATTGCATTATAGTGAACATTTTTTTTTTAGTTATCTGTATAAGTTGGCGACCCCACAGAAAGCCCGTCGCGACCCCCTTTTGGGTCGCGACCCATAGGTTGGGAACCCGTGGTCTAAAGCTTAGTTCACACTGAGTGCGATTTGCTAGTGAAAGCAAAAAACAGAGCGAATAACCGGTCAAACATGACTCATTTGATGGGTTATTCGCTCTGTTTTTTGCTTTCGCTAGCGAATCGTGCTCAGTGTGAACTAAGCTTAAGAACTAATTCAATATTTACTGCATTGTTAATGTGTATAGATTGCATACTACTCACTGTTAATACTAACCCAAGATCAAGCCCCTAACAGTAAATTTTTACTATGGTTCTTTGCTGTTTGTGTATATATCTATATTAAGACCTTCCAAATTATGTGTTATGTATGCTATTTTTGCGTTGTTAATGTATGTGTTGTTATAAAGCTCTAATGTTTCTTGGCTTTAGTGTTTAGTGTAGTATGTGTATGATATTTGTCATGATGCCTATGCAAAGAAAGAATTATAGGCACAAGTATGTTATCCACTCTCCACAGATGTTTATTCTGTGGGCAAGTTTGGGATATTTGCTAAAACCTCCATTGTGTTTATTTTGTACATTGTGGACATTTGATTAATTATTTAATACATAATAATTCTCTTTTTAATACAGATTACTTTGAATAAATTTTGAGAATATTTGATCAGGCAAAAGTTTAATTTCTTTTTAAAGTTATAATCATATGGAAAACATTAAGATTGGAATTATCAATTAGCCTTTAATCTCTTTTTTATATAATACAGTATACTTTCTACAAATACATAGTACATAATTTTATTAACTGTATTCCTTCAACAAACTATGTTCTATGTTTTTGTAGAAAGTATATTGTATTAAAAGAAAACTGCCACTCAAATCTGGTTAAATTAGAATTAAAAAAGACTAAACCTATAAACCAGCAATATATATTACAAAAATTTGCTGGTTTATAGGTTTAGTGTTTTTTAATATTGTATTAAGATCGGAAATTCAATGGCATCGCCATCTCCACTTTGGAAATGCCACTGAATTTCCAATCTTAATATTTCCTGCTTCCAGTTAAGTTAATGCCAAGTACATAATCATCTTTCCTTAGGATTCCTTTATTTTTTTTTAAGTGAAATGTTCTGCATGCCTATGACAAATTCTACTTGAATATCAGTGGTGTAAGTATGTATAACTTCTAATTGATTTAATTGTGCTTCTGTGGATGCATACAGTTCTATGTCATGCACGTATAGTATGAGATGAGATAGTATGTATTGTGTTGGTTCTGCTGTGTTTGATGTAACCATATTTAATGTTGTTTAGGCTGCATTCACACTGCCAATGATGAGACGACCACAGATCCTAAATGATAACAATAGCTTGACTTTTGTCATATTTGTTCCTCATCAAAGTGTTCACATTGTTCATTAGTTTGTCTTAGAACATGTGCACTAATGTATTGTACACTAAGCCTAATATACAATACATTAGGCTTAGTATTATTACAGTAGAGCATCGATTATCCGACTCAATTGGGGACTGGGGTTGGTCGGATAACTGAAAAAACGGATAACCAAAAAATATGAAAAAATACATTATTAGTATAGTAGAATCTTAAAACATGAATTTTGGAAAAAAATTATCTTGATATCTAAATTTATCAATGTTTTCTTAGAAATTTTTTTGAAATACTTTTTAATTAGTATCTACACTTCGATGTTAAGCCTAACAAAAATTTTTTTAAAATAATAATCGTCACTATTGTATCGTTAAAAATTAGAAAATTAAGCCTCATTTAAATACTGGCTCCGTTTCATGGTCGAACCATGTTGCCATCTAAAACACGTAAAAATACTATTAAAATAGCCAAGACATAGCCAAGTATTGTAGTGCCACATCACTAGCGGACATTTGAATTTGCCGACTAGAACGATCAGTTAACCGATGTGACGGTTAATCGGGGGTCGGATAATCGATGCTCTACTGTACTTGGAGGTTTGTGCTTCTAGAATGGATTTGTCTCCAGTTTAACTATGGATATGAATGGTAAAATGATAATTCTTCGATGTTGATGGCTGAATTTATTGTTATTAAGAAAAACATCAAAAAGTCGGCAGTGGATCAGAGCTATTAATACTGAGAGAAAAACAATTTCCATGCTTTTATCCAGGAATTATGATTAAAAGACATCGAAGGATTTTTAAAATTATTTTTGTATGTTTCCAAATACTTTCGACCATCTGTTAAGCTTGATAGGACCTCATGTCAAGAAACAAAACACAAATTTTTGCAAAGCAATTTTGCCTGGAGAATGTTTGAGTAAGACGATGTAAGCAGAATTATTTATTTATTCATGCAACTCTAATTTGATTTTGTAAATTGATATTAATTCAAAATTTAATGAAATAATTAAAATCAATTTTATTTTTTTAGTCATTACAGTCGATCCCCCTATAACACTGTTGATTTTTCCGTTTTATATGAATTTCATGTTGTACGAGTCACTTAGATTTTACAAATAGGTGAGCCATTCACAGCCTAGCACACATATTTGTAAAATCTAAGTGACTTGTACATCATGGAATTCATATAAAACGGAAAAATCAACAGTGTTATAGGGGGGGTCAATTGTATATTATTTTACCAAAGTATACACATTGTTAGACGAAAAGCTATATAATTCTAAAAAATCAATTATTAATATTTTACTAATAACAGTAAAAGAGTTATCTTCATATCATTTTGTGAATAATTTTTGGTATTCCAGTTGCAAACACTATGCTATATAAGAATTCTAAAGGATTAAAACTATATAACAATAAATAACTAACTATTTCTTTTTCATTTTAAATACTTTTTTCCAGATATCTAGCTAGTGAAGATTTTATGAGATTTGTTTCTTACAACTATAGAGTTATACCTGTTTTGGGGGAGAAAGAAGATCAGATAGAGTTTACTCAACGCCTTTATATTTTCCATTAATAAAAAATTATATTGATACTATCAAAATCAAATTGGAATCTACAGATGGAAAAGAGATCATCTTTTTTTGGAGGAAAAACATTATTAGTTTTGTCTTTTAAATAGTTATAAATATCACTTAATTTTACTTACTAATGTTAATTAGTCTTTAAGAAGTACAAAATTTATATTCTTGTTTGATATGAAGTGAATAAAGTATATTAGTTCATTATATTAGTTAATAGCAGAATAAAGTTTTGATTTCAAACAAATGTTTGATATAATGTGCAATAATTTCACAACAAATAAACATACATGCATAAGTGTTATATAGAGTTGTACAAAACAATATTCTAGGTCTTAATATTCTGGTAAATGAAAATACCACAATTTGAAATAATATAACACTGAAATTATTTTTTAAATGCAGGAATAAATTTAGGCAATTGTTAGCAATATATTCTCAATCAAGTTTTGATATTTTAAAATGTGAAACCAAGAAAGTTGACTTTGGAACTCATTAATAAATTGCTGGTCAAGTATTTGGTAACAAGAAACAAAATTCCAATTTTAGATCATCTTTTAATTTGCATAAGGTCACGATTTTTAATTGTTGGTATTTTGGGTAATAAAATCATCCAAAAGAGTTTGAAATTTGAAAACTATTCCAATCAAGATGTACCAAAAAACTGGTTAAGAAATGTTCGTCTAATATCTGATGTTGGCAAATTAAATCCCATTTTGCATAATTAATATGTTGTACAATAAATGAAGTGGTGAATATGT